TAATGATGTTGACAGTTGTGATGAATTGGTTTCTAAGTGGCAGGACGAGTCTGAGACCCGATTCATATTAATTGTCTTGATGTTATAAATGTATACCAGGGAGCTGTAATGAACAGGTTAGCATACGGCGTGATTAGCTGTTTCTGAGACTGATTATTAAACCTGATAAGAGCTACTCAATCAAACAGGACCGTGAGCGAGAAGAAAGCCTTTAATAATAGTTACTGTAACGTCTGTCAGCACAGCAAAGAGTGCAAAGAGTCAGGAAACACTCATAAACAGGATAAGCAAAGATCATAAGGCCCGCCTGCTTTGTCCACAAGGGGTCGCCAAAATCAATTAAAGTTCCATTGTTGCTTGCAAGCTTCGGGGATACACAGTGAGGTGAAGGTGGGCAGCATGACTCCCAGGCTGTTGGCACTTGAGAGCTCATCTACCATACTGTAGCTAGTAGGAGAGCAAACTCTACAAAGTGAAAACAGACGATACTAAAAGAGTGACACAGCAGCACAGAAGCTGCATGTTAGCCTTCACCGAGAGGAGTGAAAATCAGAAGTAGGACGACAGTTTAAACCTTTTTTAACTATTAGAGACCCCCCCCCCCAAAAAAAACAGACTTGCAAGTGTGCAAATCTAATTTTGACAACCTCAGACCTGTCAAAGCCCTGCACCGCCCACCCCTAAGAGATCTATAGCACCCCCTGGTCCCAGGTTGGGAAGCCATGGTCTAGTGCAGTGGTTCTCAAACTTTTTAGACTGCGTACCACCTCCGAAAATATTTGGCTCTCCAAGTACCACCATTATGGTAGATGTTAAAATACACTGTAGGCCTATTTCTACACACATTTCACGCAAGAAGCAAATATATTCATAAAAAGAATATTATTTATTATTGACTGCTGGCAGCCACACTAAGGGCTAGTGCTAGAACTTACACACACAAAAGTGCAGAACAATAAAAATGACAACTTTATACCAACAACCTGTTTGAGAATATTTAATCTCCAGTGTTTCCCACACAAAGACAATACCTGGGCCCAAGTATATCTCTGACCTGTTCTCATTTAATTTTTCATTTATTCATAAAATTGCTGCGTGCCGCTGTATTATAAGTCTCTGCATTCAACATAGCAAAACTGCCTTTTTTTAAAAAAATCCCTCTCGACTCCTGCGGAGTGTTAAGACAGCAAAAGAGAGCAGAATCACATCAGCTTCAGAGCAAGAGAGAGAGAGAGAGAGAGAGAGAGAGAGAGAGAGAGAGAGAGAGAGAGAGAGATATATAGGGAGAGAGAGAGATAGAGGGGGAGAGAGAGAGAGAGAGATAGAGGGAGGGGGAGCAATAAGTTCCACTGTCCGTACATGTTTGCACAAGTTTTTGCAAAAATTAAATTAATTTAGAGGGAAAACACATTTAATATAAATACAACCCAATAGATAAAAGACAGATAAGAGTACGACAAAAAATAAATTGTCGTTTTATGCTGAACGGGTTTGTTTTTTATATTGTGGAGATTTCTTTGCGTACCAGTAAAGATTTGAATATTGTCCAGTATGTAACCAGCCTCGGGGAATTCATATTATGTACGTAATATAACTGACATAAGTGCCCAGTCATCAGTCGTAGGTTCTACATTTAACAGAAATATAAAATCTAGAAGTGATGCTGAACAAAGAGTCGTTTGTGAGCAGAAAAAGTCGACTCTTCTGGGCCAAAAGATCCGATCACTAAAAAGAGTTGAAACTCCCACCAGAGCTTGTTCCAGCTGTTTCTCTAAAGAGTCTTTCTATCCTCGTTAAAAAGCTTTTTTAGAATTAAACACAACAGCAGCTTCTGCCTTCGTTCACTGTTAAAGTGTTTAAGGGTTGTAGTTCCAGTCTTACGGTAAAGTCCACGGCAGTTTCCCGTCTTTCCCGATGCCCATGTCGTTGCAGACTGCAGCTATGACGTGGACAGGTTTCCTCTGCACTTCGTCCCGGCTCGTCTCCATCTCTCTTCCACACAGAAACACACACAATGAGCAGCGAGCTGGCTTTGTATCCGCGGAGCTGCAGGTCTTTATTCAGCTCTGAGCTCATCTATCACCGCCCTCCAGCTCTGATTGGACATGGAGGACTTTCCTGTGCATACTGGCTGGCGACGATTTGGAGGATTTCCGACGACCGTGACGCGCCCACGAGGGGCCGTCCTCATCGTTTACACAATCAATATTTACAGTCTACAATGGTTCTCAAACTGTGGTACGCGTACCACCGGTGGTACGTGGGCTCCCTGTGGTGGTACGCAAAGAAATCTCCACAATATGAAAAACAAACCCATTCAGCATAAAATTACAATTTCTTTTTTTTGTCATACTCTTATCTTATCTGTCTTTTATCTATTGGGTTGTATTTATATCAAATGTGTTTTCCCCTCTAAATTAAAATGGTTTTTGCAACAAACAACTTTAATCTGCTCAATTTATGCTCGTGCACAGACATAAACAACAACAGGAGTACACCTCGCGTTTTGAAAAGTTCCACTCGATATTCTGTTATAGTATATGTTGAATGCAGAGACTTATAATAAAGCGACACTGTTTGCACCGAGCCTTCAGTGCGCGCGCCTGCACTCTCTCGCGCGCTCTCTCTCTCAGGTACGCAGCAATTTTATGAATAAATGAAAAATGAAATGATATTTACCGACAGACAAGTTTTGATGAGCAGTAAGCTAAGCCACTCCCTGAAACAGAAACAGACGCTCAACATTAAACACTCTTTAACACGAACAATCAATAAAATAGCCTTACATCAGTGGTTCTCAAACTTTTTAGACTGCGTACCACCTCCGAAAATATTTGGCTCTCCAAGTACCACCATTATGGTAGACGTTAAAATACACTGTAGGCCTATTTCTACACACATTTTACGCAGGAGGCAAATATATTCATAAAATAATATTATTTATTATTGACTGTTGGCAGCCACACTGTAGGACTACTAAGGGCTAGCGCTAGAACTGGCACTTAAACTAACACAACTCTGACATTTGCCCAAATCAAAAAAAGCGCAGAACAATAAAATTGACAACTTTATACCAACAACATGTTTGGAAATATTAAGTCTCCAGTGTTTCCCACACAAAGACGATACCTGGGCCCAAGTATATTTCCGACCTGTTCTCATTTAATTTTTCATTTATTCATAAAATTGCTGCGTGCCTGAGAGAGGGAGCAGGGGAGAGAGAGAGCGGGCAAGAGAGTGCAGGCTCGGTGCAAACAGAGCCGCTGTATTATAAGTCTCTGCGTTCAACATAGCAAAACTGCCTTTTAAAAAGAAATCCCTCTCGACTCCTGTGGAGTGTTAAGACAGCAAAAGAGAGCAGAATCACATCAGCTTCACAGCAAGAGAAAGAGAGAGAGAGGGAGGGGGAGCGATAAGTTCCACTGTCCGTACATGCATCAAAACTGAAGCTTCTCCTGGCTTCATTTTAAAAATGTTAATGTACAGCTGCTTGCTGCCGATTGTGTGCTGAACTCCAATAAATAACAGAATATCTGTTAATGTAGGCCTATAGCTGCTTGCTTTTGATTCAGGACTGAACTATAACAGAATATCGAGTGGGACTTTTCAAAACGTGAGGTGTACTCCTGTTGTTGTTTATGTCTGTGCACGAGCATAAATTCAACAGATTTAAGTTTGTTGCAAAAATTAAATTAATTTAGAGGGGAAAACACATTTGATATAAATACAACCCAATAGATACAAGACAGATAAGAGTACGACAAAGTACCATAGTTTGAGAACCACTGGCCTACATCATAAAAATATGCTTTTAAATACTTACTTCGGCTTTAAGTCTGAAGAAAGGTAAGGAAGAACTATAAACGTATTGACCCCACCCCTTCTCCATTAATCATTAATCATCCTGTCAGTTTCTTATATACAGGCCTATCCAAATAAGAAAGCCCTTCAGTCAAACACTGTTTGCAGGTCATATTCATGCAGGCTTATGAAAATGTGCTTTAAACCGAGTCTACAGAACAATAAGGAAACTTGACGCTTGTTAAGTATAAACTTCACATACTTTGTCGTCAAAGATTTGACCCCCACAAATAAGATTTAGACCGTTTTCTAACACGCAAGATGCAATTACTATCAGGGATGCATTTCAGCATAACACTGGATTACCAGAGCTTTAAAGGGCACATATTCTGCAAAATCCACTTCACCATGTTTCTCTAAGTCTAATATGTGTCTCTAGTCTGTCTACAAACCCCCCAATGATGAGAAAAGTTCATCCTCTCCGTCTTCTGCCTGCTCCACTTTTTAGAAAATGTGTGCTCAAACAGGCCGTTTGGAGATTTTCCCTTCATGACATCACAAAGGGCAGTAACCCCTCCCCCAGGTGGGTGACACTCCCACAGCTAGGTGTTTGTTCTGCCCTCTGAGTCTGCCTGCTCACTGTAAACAATAGGACATGGAGCGAGAAAGACAGAGACACCCAAGCCCTTCCAAAGAGGGGGCGTGGTCAGACACAGCTCATTTACATTTAAAGGTACAGACACAGAAACAGCCTGTTCTGAGCAGGGCTGAAATAGAGGGGTTTATAGACATGATCAAATACAGGATCAGAGTGGATTCAGAACAAGAAACTTCCCAGACATGTTTTGAGGAGTTCTGAGACTTATTTAAACTTGGATGAAAAGGAGGAAGATGCGACCTTTAAAGGGGACTTCACACTACGTTACTTTGTACACAGGGGGAGCCAGAATCTGAAAAAACTGAAAGGTCCTCACGGCTACTTTGAGGAGATATTTAATGTTTGATAATGATGCTTCTTTGGTTATTGTTTTGATTGAGAGCCCCCTGGTGGTGGTCTGTGTGATTTACCTTAAGAAAAAGTCCAGGCTTAATGATCGAAACACTGGAGGATGTTAGTTATAAAACATCCCCTTTATTCCCTTTTTGACTGCCTTTAAGTAAACACACATTTAGAAATAAAAAAGTACAAAACAACATGGTTAAAACAATAATTCTGTTTTATTTCCATTTTAAACCGTAAGAATTGGTCATCGTTTGTACAAAAATAACAGATCGACGATCAGACGGAGACGAAAAGAAAAACAAGGTGCATTCACAGTTCATCTTTGACTTTTGGTTACATGTGCTTTACAAAATCAAGAGCTGCGAAACCCTGTGAGCAAATATATACAAACTGAGGGAATCAAAAAACAATAAATATGTACAAATCTGTATCATCTGTAAGGTTTTCTTTATCAACAAACAATCATGACAGACGGACTTCAGACAGGAATATAAGGGGCTTGTTTACGAGGAACAGGATTTCATTTGGGTGTTCTATGCAGGTGATTGTGCAGACAGCGGGGTTAACATGTCGGCCGTACACGACAGATCTGCCCCTGATTGCCTGATGGCCACAGCTGTCAGGATTAAACACTACGTTCATTTAATCTTCAAAGACAACCGATGGCTAAAGAAACATTCAGCTGCGTGAATACCTGAGGGGAATAAAAAAGTGTGTTTGCCTCCTGGTTCCAAACACTCCCTCGATGACTTCCTGACTCAGCGGATGGGGAACATAGATTAGCACTTGTGTTACTTTCTACAGTGGAAGACAGAAGGCGGCCTCACGATACCCCGATGTGAAGACTTGATTGTTTTTGCTTGTTTTGTACCCAGAGGGCTGCACTATGAAGCAAGTTAAATGTAAAGTGACTTTCTTTGAGTGGATGAGCTAGCTTGACCAAACCTGAAGCTCCAGTTAGGAGTAACAGGTATCAAGGAGTTAACCAATCAACGGCCTGTTAACTCGGGGACGAAAGGCGTCATTCAGAGAGGCATTTGAAGCTTCTTTTGCACACACGCCTTCTTTAGCCAGCCGTCTCTCTGAGTCTGACGGCAGCAGAGTTTTTATTGGTGCGTTCATGCTTGAACTAAACTCCTGAAACGATCAGTGAGCTGCATGTCTGAACACAAACAGACACGTTCTTCACTCCCACTTCACCTGGAAATTCTTCCACCAACACCCTAGTAAACTTTTCTTGTGAAGTCAAGGTGAGCCCATATGAAAATGCAGGATCATCTTGGGCAAAACTGCAAAAAAGTATCGAGGGAATTTGTAAATATTGATTTTACTACTTGATGCTCTGTTGGCGTTCATTTATTCCTGAGAATCTAAACCCTCAGAGAGAAAAACCCAGAAAATAATCGGTGTAAGGATGTCGTTTTACAGCTGAATTTTAACTGAAACTCGGAACAGCCCGGTCCTGATAAGGTAAGGAGTCCGCTTCATGGCACTGAAACTCGAACTTCCTCACGCTTCCATGTTGATCTCACTTGGTCATGCAGCCCTCTAGTGTTTAAGGGTCCTTTCTCTGCAGATTCAATGTTTTCTCTCAGTTCCCTCCTCTGTTCCTGAGATGTTTCATGCCTCTAACCTGGAGACGTTTTAACAGCTGACCGTCTGATCTCTAATAACCTCAACTGCTCACAAATAGCATGTGCATGAGAGAGTCATTCAGGCTGCAGCTGGATCCAGGACCCCCTGTTCTGTAGTTTATCGTGGTGAGTTACAGTCACTGCAGAGTATTGTCCGATGCCGTTCACACTGACGGATCCTTTAAGTCTTTTTCATATCATTTGCTCTGCTTCAAATATTTACGGCAGCTTTCAGGGAGAGCCTCCTCATAGCGCCGCTTCTGTGTCATCTGTCCTCTTTCTGCATTAAAACAAACAAAAACACAGAAAAAGTCATGAGATCATAGCACGCAAATATTACACATCAGAGGGCGACACATCAGGGTCTCACAGGGGTGGGGGTTGGGGGTGTGAGTATCTCTTGTGCATACTACATTAGAACTGAATCAACGTGTTAACATGCAGAGAAGTGTATCTTAACCACAAAAACGTCTATACCTGTCCGAGGTATTGTCTCCTGGGTGAGGGGATTTTCAGAAGCCCCTCTTGGAGCCTGACTGCTCCCTGCACCGACTCCTCTCATGTTGCTGCTAGGATTAGATGGAACTGCAGCCAGGAGACCTGCAGGGAGACAAAAACAGTTTTAACTATTAAAAAAAAAAAAAAAAAAAAAACTTAGGGAAAATTATAAAAATATATATATATTTGTATTCTTTGACATGATTTAAAAAAAATCCTTCATCAACCTCGGAGTGATCTGTAGAAATCTGCAGGTACATTTGTAATACCTGAGAGATATTAAACCTTAAGAGGAAACACACCTTAATGCTGCTTGTTTAAAAATGTGTGATTATGTCTGTGAGCCAAATCATCACCAATTTCTGCCGAGGTCAGACCTCAGCCTCGTTATGTTTCCCAACTCAGTTTGCAATACAAAATAAATGGGAGTCCATTTTCAATCGCGCCACGTTGCGTGCATTGTGTGATGGTGAAGGCTGTACTCTCAGTAATGATGATGCGTGCCTGAGTCTTTTACACTGGAATAATGATCGCCCGGTATAGGACACAGATTACAATATCTGGAAGCTACAAATACTGTGACACAAAGCCTCCATGCAGAGGACTGTGGTGACATCTACACAGGTTGCATAGATTTCTTTCAGTGAAGAAAAAGTTTGCATTCAAGACAGTCAGACGAGAACGTGTTCTTGTTTAGTTGCAAAATTAAACCAAACATCCAAATCAGGTCAAATTTAAAGGTCATATATTCTGCTAAATCCACTTCCCCATGTTTCTCTAAGTCCATCCTCTCCGTCTTCTGCCTGCTCCACTTTTCAGAAAATGTGTGCTCAAACAGGCCATTTGGAGATTTTCCCTTTATGACATCACAAAGGGCAGTAACCCCTCCCCCAGGTGGGTGACACTCCCACAGCTAGGTGTTTGTTCTGCCCTTCCAGAGAGGGGGCGTGGTCACACACAGCTCATTAACTATTAAAGGTACAGACACAGAAACAGCCTGTTCTGAGCGGGGCTGAAATAGAGGGGTTTATAGACATGATCAGACATGTTTTGGGGAGCTCTGAGACTTATTGAAACCGGTTGAAAAGGAGGAGGATAATATGTGACCTTTAAGGTAATCAAAGTTAAATTTCACCAATGGGACAAAGTGTGAGTTGGATGTTATGAGTATGTTGGTCACGGTGTTACCTAGTCCTCTGTAGCTGGAGAGCTGCTGGTAAATCTGCCTCATCCTCTCAATGTTGATGCGGCTGGCCTCTGCGTGGTTCACCATGGGCTTCGGGTAATGAACTCCGATGATACATTTGGCCGCCTTCTGCACTTCCTCCGGGGCGTTCCACGGATCATAAATGTATTCAGCTGGAAAGCCTCTTAGTACCGGCAAATAACGCCTGGACACAGAGAAAGAGAAGAATGAAGACAAGAGGAACATGATGTGAGTTTAATGCTCAGTATTCAATTACAACAATTTCCCATCACGTTAAACATGAAGCAAAAAGACCGAACATTTCAACAGTCCAGTATGAATGTTGAAACACTTAAAAAAGGGGCTAAAATGAAGAGAGCACATGGCCTACACACCCTTCAAAACAACAGCAAGGGGCACAAATGAATCACAACACTGCCGGCTAATAACCGGTGGCTGGTACTTTATTCTTCATGTGATGCAGATTAAACGCTCACTGACCGTATGTAGTCCCCAGAGGGGTCTGTGCGTCGTCCAAATCCCACGGGGCAGTAACATTTGAAAAACTGCTGAAAGAAGGAGCTGCAGGAGAGCCACATCCAGCTACCAGCGTTTACACTCCAGTCTGCGTCTATGAGCAGCTCCTCAAACGCCTGAGTACAAGACAGAAAGAAAACATGATTGTTAAACACATAAGCACCTTCACTCACAGTGACTTTCTGTTAAAGCTTTGGCTGTTCATGTCAGGTGTAAACGTTAAAACTGGATCCCACAGGACCATAGGTACTGACAGTGGACCACCTGAGACGTCACCTCTTTTAACTGAATAATTATTTAATCATTTACAGTCTCACGAGTTAGACCAAGAGGATTTTTATCTGCAGATCACAAATAAATCTATAGTGATCATGCTAAAGCCTTTTTAAATCGCTGGTGAACTGTGCAAGGGCTCCACCTCCTTAAAATACAATTTACAGTAAAGTCCGGTATATAAGTCGCAGTCTGTGTTTGGAGGTCTCTCAGAGAGAAAAAAAGGTTTAAAGTGTCTTCCTTTGTAAAGGGTAAATGGACTTGAGCTTGTAAAGCGCTTTTACTCTGCAGGTCACACCTACACATTCACACACTGATGGTAGAGTCTGCTGATTAAAGAGTCCATCAGAAGTAACTAATCTATACATACACATTCACACGCCGCAGATGAAGCAGCGGGAGCAATCTGGGGTTAAGTGTCTTGCACACGGACACAAACGATTACAGTCAATTATGTCTCAAATTTAACTCAACATATACCAGTGATCAAATATTATTATGGACATATTTCTGGTTTTCATGATTTCATGGCAGATTTTGTCACTTTTTCTTCATGTTTCCAATTAATTCCAATTCCAATTAATATGTAAAAATTGACCTGAGGGCCACGTTGAGGGTTGAGGGTTGATGGGGGCCGCCAGTTGCCCTGCCATAAAGCAATGTAAAACCACACACTGGGACACCACTGTTACGTTGATGTGGATGTACCATGTAAGTAGATGGCAGAATCACATTAATATTTAAAAATAAACACTTCTGTTCCCACCTTCATGCCTTCCTCCCAGCTGATCCACAGGTCTCCCCTGGTCAGGAAGCAGGCCACAGCGTGCCGTGCCAAGTGATGGACCCAGCCCTCCTGCCTCAACTGGGTCATGATGGCATCTATCCAGGGAAAGCCTGTCTGTCCCTCCGCCCACTTGGCCAGAGCTTCCGGGTTTCTGTCCCAGGGGACCTGCACGCACACAGGGTTTCCCTCCATCTTGTCAAAGCAGGGGTTGTTGGTGGCGGAGGTGTAGAAGAACTCCCTAAACAGCAGCTGACCGTACAGGGAGAGAGGCGGGGAGTTGTTCTCCTTCACCTGATGAGGCAACGGAAACAAAAACAAGTACATCAACTTCGATGATTGGCCAAAGGGGCTGATAAAAAGTTTGTGAGTTAAGAATAATTAAGTTAACAAGGTTACAAACATGCACCTGCAAAACTCAGTCAGCATCTCACCTTAAAACCTAATTGGACTGAAGGGGCTAGGTGTTCGTAGATACTGTAGGGGCTTTTAATTGATGTATTTCATGTTGCTGTATCTGTGGTCATACGTACCTTTATGTACAGGTCGGTGAGTTTTGAGTAGAATAGTCGACAAGAGAGACATCCGAAGCGCAGGTACGGACTGAGGCCCGTGGGACTGGCCAGCAGGGAGTTAGCGTTCATACGAGGACTCTCGAAGTTTGCCACCCACGCCTGAAAAAGATCATCAGTTCACTTTAAGTAAAATAAAACCAGCTTGATGTCTGAGAGGAGGTCTGATCCTGGATAAATATTTAAGCCTCTTATCAAGGCCCAAGTGTGGTCTTCTTACCTTCCTCTCCAGGTGTCTCTCCAGCCTGATGAGGGCTTCTGTTTCTCCACCCGGCCACACGGCTTCGCTCAGGCCCTCCGTGTCAAAACCTGAAAATGAAAACATACAAGTGTAAAATAAGATTAAGAGCCCAAAGTCTGGTACACAGAATTATTGGTTTCATCAAAGAATCAAAAACAGCAGACAAAAACTCACCCAACTCTTCCAGGGTCGGCACACCGAACTTGTGGTCGTGGTCGTCACTGATGGGCGTGACACAGTTTTTGATCACATCCGGTGTGATCGTCTCTGCAGGGTGCTCCACGGCTTCCATCCGGCTAACGAGAGCCTGGAAGCGCTTATAGGTGAGAGGAGGCTGACCATCGTTCAGTTCAATGATCCTTCAACACAGAACACGTGACAGGAATCAGTTTAAATGTGCACACGCACAGACGAGAGCAGACACGGACGGTACACTTCGGACAAAACAGTCACTGTATCGTCACTCACTTGGCCAGGTCGTAGAGTGTGTGTGAAATCCGCACCATGACCTCCACCTTCGCTTCGCTGGCGAGCTTCTGAATGGTGGCATCACGCTCCTTCCCAAACGGCTCAGAGTCATATTCATAAGATAAACGGTTGATCTTCCACTCCTGAGGAAAAGATCAGAGTTGGATTTTAGAATGGTTTCATAAAGGGGCACACCACAAACAAAAAATACTAGCGTATTTTATGTCTAGTCAAAAGTATCTCATGAAGTTTAAAGGTCACATATTATACTTAAACCACTTCCCCATGTTTTTCTAACTCTAATATGTGTCTCTAGTCTGTCTACAAACCCCCCAATGATGAAAAAAGTCCATCCTCTCCATCATCTGCCTGCTCCACTTTTCAGAAAATGTGTGCTCCAACAGGCCATTTGGAGATTTTCCCTTCATGACATCACAAAGGGCAGTAACCCCTCCCCCAGGTGGGTGACACTCCCACAGCTAGAGACACGCGCACTAACCACTAGGGTATCAGCGCCCCCCCCCCAAATCTTAAATTTCTAAATCTACTATTGAAAAGAGTTATAACAGAAACATAAGGTTAGGATTGTTAAACATCAATCGGCATCTCGTGTCACACCTTAAACAGACGAGGGAAGACGTCGGTGGGCTGTCCTCTGATGACAAACAGACGGGAGTTCAGTTTACGCAGGCTGGCGTCCAAATCCTCCAAACAATGCAACAAAAACCTGAAACAAAACACACAGAGGGAATCTGTTTAGTCATTTTACACTGATTAGATGGCATCTGACAAGACACCAGGGTCACACTAAACCAAATGATGAGACTGTTATGACAAGGGAAGGCTGATCGGATGATACGAGACAAACACTGGGGGGCTAAAAGCACCACTGCTGCAGCACAAAACCCACTGTGTGTATGTGTGTGTGTGTGTGTGTGTGTGTGTCACATGAGGAACATTCAATGGAACACAAACAGCTGCAAGTAAAAAACAATATTCAAATCTTATATCTGTTGCTCAAGGGGATCCAAAGTTTCACAGAAAAAGATCAAAACCTCAACACGAGACCCTGTGTGCAGAGCGTGCTGATTGGACTTAAACATTAAGCTGATTAGATGTTCAAATATTTCCTTTTTGTCGGAGTCAGGGCTTGAGCTGCTTCTCTGCATGTGTGGAGATTTAATTACACCAAGTCATACAACTGTACATTCAGAAGACTAAAAAATAAACACATTCAACATTCAACATAAACGCTCCTCAATTAATCCCACCAAGAAGATAACCACTGAGCATTACAGCAGGAAACCCACGTTACTTATTATCACTTTCATTTTGACAACACTAACTACTAACTTGAATGAAGCATGACGTGGTGTAAAATTTAAAGCATGATTCACATGGTTCAGCTGTTTTAATTACAACTACCAGTCAGTCAAAGCATGAAGCAGAAGATATGGAGTAAAAAGTGTGAACATGCAGCGCCCTCTGCTGGTGAACTTGTTGTAGACACACAGCCATCTGCATTTTTCTGCTTCTCTAATGTTAACCCAGACTGGATGTTTGTTAAAACAACAAAAACAGTGCCCTCTATGGGTTAAGTAAGGATTCACACATGTATTACAGAAACAAACAAAATGAAAGTGTGTTACTCTCCTCTCTGACAAACCTGAACTTATCAAAACAGGATGAGTTTCACTACATTTATATACTTACAGATAAACTCCAACATACTGTCTTCTAACTTGCAAACAAACATTTACTGACATCGTTTTGATCCTAGATCTTCATTGATATAGTTTATTAAAAAAAGGCGGAACATCTTATAAAGGAAGTGGCTATGAGCCTGCCACCAGTCATCATGACGTCAACTCTGAATCAGCAAACAAACATCAGCTTCCTGATTGAAGCACACATACCAAAAGAATGACTCTAAGGCGAGGAGGCAGTTATAACAAATATGTAATTTCACATATTTTAAGTTTAAACGACACTGAAGGTCCCAAAAGCTAAAAGCACACATCTTCCAACCATTCCAGGGCCAAGAAAGTGTACCGGTAATTGTCCCGTTCTATGCTGAGGCACAATTGGCTTGAGTACGGCACGGTACAGATGGCCAGTGTGACTGCGCCCTTAGTTAACAAGACAGTTGGACTCTAAACATAAAAAAGGGACACGCCTGCACATCGGAGAACAACACAGAGAACATGACGGCTACTTAACTGACTTTGTGGCTTCTTTTCAGTCATTTTAGTCAGATACAGCAAGAACACTCCGGGATTTCTCGACAATGAAAACCTCTCCACTTTTCGTGTTAAAAACATGAAGACAAATCGTTTGAAAACCCCAACAATATTGAGCAGCCAGATCATTTACAGAGTGCACAAAGTGATGTCATGGTTGTGGATGCATGTGAACGGATTGATATGTCTTTCACACTTGCAGAAAACTCCTGAAAGTATTTTTTTCCACATGAAGTCAGAGTGAGCTGATGTGAGAACACAGCAGGATATAATCAGGAGAATTCCTGGAGCGAGTGGGAGGGGGTGATGATTTATTCCCTGTGATCGCTGCACGACCATAGACTGTCTGCACGCCACCTCTACCATCTCTGTGCTCTAATGAACCTGCTGCATTATGTTTCCTGTTCTCCAGTATGTTCTTCTCCACTCTTTAGTTCACATTGAGATTCTGTTCAACTACACGTAGCATTGATAGAAAGACACATATTCTCATCATAGCATCGTACAGCAGACTCTATCGATTTGTCTGCTATACTGCATCACCCCCCTCCCGTCTGACAGGGACAGTCTCCCGCTGTGATGTGTGAACATCCAGATCAGATGGATTTCAGGAGCAGTCCTCACATTTCCTAGATATTTTCAGGAGTGCTATATGTAAAAGTCTATAGTGTGCACACTGTAAATGAAGTGGTGGTGGTGGCAGTAGTGGGTGGGTATGATGAGTGTGTGTTTAATGTAGGCCAGCCCCTGTGAGGGGCGGGGATGAAGTTATGAACATCACGACACACTGACCCACTTTCTAACTCAGGGACGGGGAGCAGGACAAATCTTTGTCATGTCGCCTGACACAGCAGCATCTTTATGAAGCTCAACGTCAATTCCTTTACTCTATTATTTTTGCAAATACCATCTTCCCAAAACTAAGTGGCTGACCAAAACCACTAAAATCAAAGATGGAGGACTACAAAGTGGTACAAAATGTTCTTCTGTTATACACACAGTTCAAACATCTGCATAGGAAAGGCTGAGGGGAAAAATAAACTACTGGTTTTTCTAAAACATTATCTCCATCAATACATTACACATTTATTCAAAATGTATTACATTTGGGCCAAACTATCATTCTCATTCAGTATTCTAAACAAATGTATTGTTTACAATTTTTTTTCGATAACGATACCAATCCAACAACCAATCAATTACGACTTTTGGTAACAACAAATAAATTCAGTATCGTTGCTCCAGAAAATGATAATACCCCCTTTTGTTGAAACTTGTATCGGGTTTAGTCGCTTTGTGGGTTAAAAACTACCTCCCCCCCTTTACATACTGCATGTTCTGACCCAATGTTCCCCTTCTCACCTCCACCTGTTGATGCCCACATTGGAGGATCCCGCGAACCAGGGGTCCAGGATGTAGATGCACCGCAGGGTGTCCGCTCCCCGCATAGAGTCCCTCAGAGACGGGTTGTCGTGCAGCCGCAGTCCCTTCCTGAACCAGTGGATGGTGTTGACAACCATGTCACCTGCTGTCTTTAATATCCCAAGTGAAGGTGGAAAAGTGGGGGAGGGGGTGTCCCCAACAACAATAATAAGATGTCCTTGAAGACAGAAGTCTTCGGAAGTAGCTTTAGATTGTCTGGTAACGATTATTCTCTTAACCTTGCTCCATGAATTCATCCACAGAGTTGAGTCTCCTGAGCGGCGGGGGCAGCATGTGTGAAAGCAGACGACCGCCGGGGATGCTCAAAAACAGCACAGACGTCCCCCTGATTAGCGGGAACGATTAAATTGTTACAAAATATGCGACAACAAGTTCATTATAAAGACGTTTAAGACAGCAGAGACGGCTAAAGTTTAACACACGGGACTAGCTAAAGCTCCCGCTAACGCTATCGTAACAACAAGTACAGTACGACCGCAAGAATATGTCCGCTTCGTTTCAACGAGTAGATTAAGTAATCGGCAAATTAGCACTCCAACTCGTCAAACAATTTGTAGTTACTGTAAAATAACTCGTGGTTAAGTGGTCCGCCGCGTAACCCGTACTCTGTGTACCTACAGATCTACAGGAACACGCAGGACAATCTGCGCCCTCTGATTGGTCAGAATCAGAAGTTATACAAGCGTTCCCCTGTCACGTTTCTATAATGTGCTTTCTTGACTCCTGTTTAAACTCAATATTACACCGTTTTAAATCATCCACACGTCCATACTCTGCCGTAGTGTCTGCAAATATTCGACCAGTGTTCATCTATAGAGAGCAGAGACTTGAGAAAGTGCACAAAAGTGTATTTTAAAAGCAGCCAATGGGAGGCGCAGGATTGAGTTACGTGGACACTGAAGTACCCGGATGAGCACATGAAGCGCGGCGTGGTAATTTTTTCTCTCACCACGTGCGTTTGTTTTACTCCACAGGCCGCCCCGCTTATTCTACAAGTGTGCATGGCCAACCCCGCCCACTCTCAGCAGAGATGATCTGTTAGCAACGTGACCCACAATAAATTACATGAAGGAGTTAATAAATACTCTGTTATAGTTTATATAGGCCTATATTGAAAACGCATACGTTTTTGCTCTCATACAGAGGCGATTCTAGAGTCTATTGGGGCCCAAGACAAACATTCACAGGGGCCCCTCCAACCAGCGTTCACCACCATTCGTATGTCTTAAGTTTACACCTGTATTATCATTTCTAAATAAAAGTATAAAGAACATTAAGAACGTTGTCTTTATAAAATATGACGATGAAGAATGATGATTAAAAAATGGGTCAAAGAACAAAACCATAATGTAATGCTAGCTGAAATTATGCCAATCAAGGTTCTTTCCCCCATATTTAGGGCTAGATGAGTAACATTCAGTCATTACTGGTAAATGAGTGAGTGCTGTACATTGGGGCCCCCTTAGGGAGGTTTCCTACTGTCATTGCTAAGTGATGCTGCATTCATGTGGTGTCGGACACATCGGAAAAATGAGTTTACGAGTTGTAAAATGGACACAAACACCTGCTTAAGTCAGAACACACTGTACGGGGGGCGGGGGTGAATGTTTTGATGACTCATCACATTCACAATAAGGCCTGACCTGATTGACAGGCGGGCGTGGTGTAACAGTTTGTCAGGAGGCTTATAACCCGCCTCAGCTCCAGCTCTCAGCCTGTCGTTAGGTTGACTGAAAGTTAGGATGAGACAGCATTTCCAGCATGGAGACCGCCATCGATGGGACTCCAGCGCCCCCTGCAGGAACAGATGGTTCACATCACTCAGGCTTCTTCCATAAATATTTACAGTCTATAGTTTATACACATTTTTAGAAATAAAAATGAACCGAAGGCAAAGCATCTTAACTTACAACAACACTCAGTTTATGTAAACTTGTTTTTCTCATTATAGGGTTAGGGTATCAATAGAGTCAGAGATCTCAGTCAGGCAGAGCGCTCACATAACCAGTGGCCTTACCAGAGTCTATTGGGGCCCTTTTGGTAAAAGATTCACAGGAGGCGGCTCCAACTATAACAGTCATCTCCATTGTTTCATAAATAATCTCACTGCTCTGAACTTTTCCTTTTCCAAAGTTGGAGTTAGTATTATTGTGTCATAGGACAACCAGAGGTTGAGCTCCATATAGGAGCATAAAAACCAACACAGTCTCATTCACAACTCGTCATATATTGACGGTCGGTCAGGAGCCCTTAGCGTCAGTGATCAATGCACAGGGCTCCCCTGTGGCGTTCATTTTCAACACGGCAGGTTTCCCCATAGCGACTGTCATTATTCGACAAATTGGGGGTGTGACTGTGTTGCAAAAACACAAGGCTCTCTCGCTGTTAGTAAAAAGACAAGCATTATGTTCCAACAGGAGTGATGTGAAATACTTTGTGAAAACTGTCATCAGTTTCGGCTGTTCTCATCACACTTAACTTGCTTCTGTACAGGGAAGGAGAAAGTACTGTGATGAAACCAGATGAACATCTTGTATCAGCCTGCAGCAGGATGTAAAAATAACACAGGCTATTATTATCATTATTAACAGAGTCTCAGGCCTGTGGATCCTTAAAGTACATCTGCCATAACAGTCTGTTCATTTGTCTGTTGGTGCAGGCTCGTTCAGAACATTACACCTGACTATAGTTAGCAGGCCATTCTAGACAAGACGGAGGGGAAAACCGGTCGACTTGAAACATAGTGAGCAGTGATTCAGAAACCAATCAGGAGAGCAACATGTGAGGCAGTAACGTCTGGAGATGTTCTGACATCACTCCTAATTTGTCGCACATAAAAACTGCTTTAGAAAACATCCTCTGACCACACATCGGTCCCTTCCACAGTAAATGATAGAGTATGTGTGTATGATTGAAATGATGGTGAAAGGTAACTTTGCTGGTTCAATGCTGAGGGTGTAATCGATGGTGTAGGAACCCAAAAGCAGCACACTTGAAACCAGACTTGATGCATGTAATGCTCTTTAATATTACTAGACTTATACAGTTAAAATCAAGCAGGCAGCAGGTTTGGTAGCAGGAAAGCAGTCTGAAATAATAAACAAACCAACTGCGGTCAGGTGAAGGCCAGGTCAGAGGTGAGCAGAGTCGATACTGGGTGATCAATCCAAAGGACAAAACCGTGCATGGAGGGAAAGAAAAATCTGGCGGAGTCGGTGCGAACAGGAGAGTCTTAAATACAGGCTTGATTAGAGCTGAGCGGCAGCTGTGTGCACAGGTGAGTAGAGTTGAGCTTGATGATGTGGGTGTGGCTTGCAGGCAGAGTGGAGCAGAGGCTGGATGGTGAGTGGAAAAGAACTGAGTGTTTAGAGTTTACAGTCTATGGTTTAGAGTCGAAGAAGAAGAAAGAAAGAACTGAGTGAAGGCAGGTGAGCAAAACTGATACAGAGGGTTGTTGAGACCTGAGCTCGTAGATGCTTTCATTACATTAAACTTCATGAAAAAAATCAAGATGGTAGTTGCCACAGTACTGCGCTCTCTAGTACTTGACTTGTTTTTGTTTACTTTTCCCTTGTACTGTATGTGTAGCATACATGGCCAATTAAGCTGATAACTTAAAATTGCATGTGGCTCCTCAAGTGGACACTAGGTGGCAGCGTTTACCAGGAGTTCTTTTGCAAAGTGTCTGTCTCCTTCCCCAGACTTTTGTATTTTTAACCTTTTGTCTTTTGGGTTTAAAATGAATCTTTTTTTGTGCATTGTGTTTTGAAGTCATTTAATGTGTTTTTGAAGTTGAAGCAGATAAAGGTTTGTTTAAGACCACGGCTCGGGGCTAAAGAGAAGCTTCCAGTTATCTGATGAATTTTCAGTCAGTGTCTAAAGTTAATGACAACACAATGAGGACAGTGGCTCTGTGATGTATAATATGTGTTATGATTCAAACATAATTATCTTGTGCACACAAATTATACTGTATGAACAACAAGCTACTATTTCTTCTCACAAGTAGGGCCTACAAGATAATATCTGTTGCACAATATAGTAAAACTAACAAATAACTTAAATTCATTCATAATTTGATTTTCTGCTGCAACCTTCTCGGTGTTATGGGCCAAATGAGTGACACGCCCGCTGCACAAGATGATGATTTTTCAGGGGTATTTATGGTCTCAATCCCTAAATGTCTCGGGTTTGTCTTGGTCTTAGAGCACGCTGGTATCGGGTATATCTTGGTCACGGTTAGTGTGGTCTTGACTCAGTCTCGATCCCTCAATGTCTTGCTCTTGTCTCGATCTCAGAGAACTCTGGTCCCGGGTATATCTCGGTCTGGGTTAGTGTGGTCTTGTGTGCATAAGATAATAATTTGTTCCCACAATAATCTTCCTGTGCGCTCAACACATGCTCACAAGTTAAATTCTGATGTGCACACAACACAATTATCTCCTCTGCAGAAGTTATCATCCAAATTGTGCACACACATGAAATATTTTTTTCGCAAGATAATTATATTGTTCACTTAATATCTGGAGCGCACAACAAGCTTATCATATGTACACCTTTATTTGTCCTTTGGGAACAAATTATGTTATCTTGTGTGCACTGATGAGATGGTAACTTCTGCACACAGGATAATTAAATATAATTATATTGTGTGCACAGTAGTGCCAACAAGATACTGTTCGTGGAGTGAGCTCAACATAACATACACTCACAAGGGGCGATTCTAGAGTCTGTTGGGGCCCGAGGCAAAAATCAATTGGGGGACCAGCGTTCATCACCATCATTTCTGCCAGTGTCCCAACTCTTACTCCTCTACCTCTTTTTTCCTGTTTCTTTTTTTCTCTCCAATAGACGGATAATTCCTCTTCATCTTTCTTTGTTGACTTTCATCTACGAAATTTGGTTTTCACCGCAATAGAGGGAAAATGTGCACATCTTGGGCCATTGCTTCAGTTGAAGTTTGTGAGCCCTCAGGGGCCCTGTACTGGTCTGGGGCCCCGAGCAGTTGCCTACCTTTCCTGTTGACAAACGCACAACAATCTTATCAGTTCATCACCAGAGCAGGGATACGGAGGGAGTGGAAGAGAGGGAGGGGCTGGGTTATCAAGGAAGAAGAATGAATGTGTGAGAAGATAAACAACAGTCTTCCTGCTTGAATGCTGAGCTCCATTTTTAAAGTGCCTTCAGTTAATTTAATCTAACAGATTTTAAGGTTTGAAGTGTCTGAACGCTCACTATTTAAGTCTCCTTTGAGACGGGGTCTGATGCCTGTACATTATTTCACTGTGGGTTTCCTTTTAGTCATGACTGAACCAGGATGTTGTGAACTGATAACAACTGTCAGATAGATGGATCATATGAGCCTTTCAGCTTCTCATCCTGAAAAATGGCTGCCATGTGGTTATGATTAATCACTGTTGCCATTTCCCTCATAGCTGAGACATCCTGTTGGAGGACAATCTCTGTAGAATTAACATACAAGAGTCGGAGCAAATCAATCCAGAGGACGTTTAGATAGTTTCAGACCGACTACATACATCAAACTGTGTGTGGCTCCATAAAAAAATGTCGGGAAACGATACCAAGCTTCTCCATGAAATACAGATTCTAAGTCTGTAGTCGGGAACAGATGAACAGACCATCGTTATAGGAGCCGTGCTGACAGGATGTCTTAAACACACATCACTGTGTTTGTGCTCAGAGCCCTGATCAGCTTTATTAATTAAAAAGAGCACAGAATCACCTTTTTGAATCAGCTGGTTCAGAGCAGTGCTGCCT